CTTTCTCCCGCGGAGCGGCTGGTAGTTTCGAACCGCTGACCTTAAGGTTCGCAGCCCGATTCGTAACCACTACGCTACCAGAGCTCCTTGCTTTAGGGACTATTTTTTAACCAGTGAAATTTTCCAAAACTCACCAACATGCAGATGGATAAAGCATGAAACTTTAGACTGTGAAAAGGACACGTGTTTCCAGCAAACAAGAAATCAAGAGCATCACATTGTTTGACCTCAATTGGAAATGTGTGCATTGAAAAGCTCAAAACATTTTGCCATTCTGTGCATGAGTAACCAGAAAAGTGCTGAGAATATTGATTTGGGGCTTAAAAATTTTAGTGAGTAGGTAAATTATCTAATAAGGAATTCTAAAATAATGAAGATTAACAACTGTATCCTTTACATAAGACAAAGTTTTTGAACTGAAATTCAAAAATATTCTGAATTTCTTCTCTTAAGTACCATAAAGTTGGTTCTGGCTCACAGAAATCCCTCTAAATAGTTTCCAAGGAGCAGCTGGTGAGTTTGAACCGTTGACCCTGTGGTTTTATGCTTATTCTACAGTTCCTCACCAGAAGTCCAAGTAATAAACAGATCATCTGAAACCGGGGAAAGTTTTCACTGAAGTAGTTTTGTTACTGACCAAATTGATAAACTGAATTGAAGGACTCAGCTAAGAAGCTAACCTCTCATTTTGTAGTCATGCTGTTGTCTTAATTCACTGAGGAAATCTCTTTAGCTATAGTGTTCTTGCATAGTGTATTGAAGGAGCTCTAGTACCGTAGTGAGTACGAGTCTGGCTGCTAACCTCAAGGCCAGCAGTTCAAAACTACCAGCCATTCCGCAAGAGAAAGATACAGCTTTCTGCTCCTGTAAAGATTGGTCAAGTGGCAGCATCGATGGACTCAAGCGTGGCAACAATAGTGAGGTTGTCCCAGGATCAGGCAGTGTTTCGTTCTGCTGTGCATAGGGTCGCCATGAGTTGGTACCAACTCGGCACCTAACAACAACAACAAAATATTTACAGCCTTGGAAAGCCTACTCAGGGTCACTACCAACTCCATGGCACACCACCACCACCACCATAGTGTACTGAGCTCTGGTAACATAGTGGTTACAAGTTGAACTTCTAACCTCAAGGTCAGCAGTTTGAAACTACCAGCCAGATGAAACTTTCTGCTCCCTTAAAGATTTACAGCCTTGGAAACCCTATGCAGGTTCCCTATGAGTCAGAACAGACTCCATGCCACACCACCACCACCACCATAAGTGTATTGAGCTTTGGTAGCATAGTGGGTACAAGTTGGGCTGCTAACCTTGAGTCCAGCAGTTCGAAACTACCAGCCATTTCACGGGAGAAAAATGAGGCTTTCTGCTCCCATAAAGATTTATAGCCTCAGAAACCCTATATAGGGTCACTATAAGTCAGAACTGACTCCATGGCATACAAACGCCACTACTACCACCATAGTGTACTGATATATTTTCTTATTCAGGAAATTTAATCACCTTTTGAATAAACTGTAGTCTCTCCCACTTCACTCCCTGTCCCTTGCCTTCATGGTCTGAGTCTGTTTGGAAATTTGACCTAATATGTCCAGTCATTTCTCAATATGGTCTTTTGTCTTTTGTTAGACATTGTTATATTCAGTGTGTTTGTAAAAGTTCCCATTTTTTGCAAATCAGTAAATCATGAATTGTTTCGTATATATTAAGGATCAATCACAGTGTAGCCTTAGTTGTGATCTAATCGAAGCATTTAAAAATTTCTGTTAAAAAAACAAAACAACCCTTTATGAGATACAACTTGCATTTACCTATATGCAGATTTGTAGATTTTTAAGAATCACTTCCTTACAAATAGTAAACTCATTTAGTTTATCAATTATTATTTGACAAGATAAGTTCCAGTGTTTCCACAGGTATGTTAACATTCACTTGATTTTTTTCTATTTTGTTTTGTTTTGTTTTCTCTTTAGATTCAACTCTGCTATTCAAGCAATGGTCATTATGATTCTGTGTACTCAAAACAATTTCAGTCAAGTGCAGCTGTTTGTCAGGGTATGTGAAGGATTTACAGATAGATGTTTCTGTGTGATTTCAGAGTCTTTAAATCTAGGTAACCACCATAAATATAGAAAATGGTTCTTTTAAACCTTCTTGCTTACTGAAATTACGTACCTGGGGTATGGCTATTTTCAAATTATTATAAATGAAAATATTGGCCTTTTTTTCTTTCAGCTATAGTGTATGAAATGCTCTATAAAGATGTGTTTGTTGTGGATGAAGAAGAGTTGAAAACTGCTATTGAATTGTTTCGAAGTGGATCCAAGAAGCACAGAAATAATGCACTGACTGGAAGTGAGGATGCGGATACCCATGTTGACTATAAGAGTTCACCTCAGGATAGGTAATAAAGTGGAAGGGGATGTCAACTATGTAATAATCATGTTCCATGTAGCTGTGTATCATTTGAAAGAGGAAGGGGCCTGGCAAACTTATGACTTAGATTATACACACCAACACACAGTATTTGTGTACGTGTGTGTTGTGTACCATTGAATCGGTTCTGATTCATAATGACCCTACCTTGTATAAGGTTTCTTAGAGCAGCCAGTAGGTTTGAACTGCTAATCTTGTGGTTACCACTTGAGTGCTCAACACTCCAGTGCTTCGGTGTTCACATATATGTATGGAGGTGGTGGTGGTGTGCTGTGGAGTTGGTTCCCACTCAGCCAGCCACCCTGTGTGAGGTTTCTGAGGCTGCAAATCTTTACGGGAGCAGACAGCCTCATCTTTTCCCCATGGAGCGACTGGTAGATTTGAACTGCTGACCTTACAGTTAGCAGCCCAGCTCGTAATCCACTATGCTACCAGGACTCCTCACATGTATGTATGTATGTATGTTGTTGTTGGTAAATGCTGTCGAGTAGGTTCTGACCATTGGCAACCCTGTATAGGGTTTCCAAGGAGCAGCTGGTGAGCTTGAACTGCCGGTTCAAACCAACTTTGCAGTCCAGCACATTAACCCAGTGTCACACCAGGACTCCTACATATATGTATGGGGATATGTGTATGTGTATACAGATATATGTTGTTGCTAAGTGCTGTCAAGTCTATTCCGATCCATAGGGATGCTGTGTAGGGTTTCTGAAGAGCGGCTGGTGAGCTTGAACTACCAACCTTGCAGTTCAAACTAACTTTGAAGCCCATCACATTAGCCCACACCAGGCCTCCATTAAAATAACGGGAGAAAAATGATGCTTTCTATTCCTGTAAAGATTTATAGCCTCGGAAACCCTAAACCGGGTCACTAAGAGTTGGAACCGTTTCCACAGCAGCACACATCCACTACCACTAGGGTTCCTAACACACACACACACACACACACACACACACACACACACACACCTCTGGTAGAGTAGTGGTTATGAATCGGGCTGTGAACTACAAGGTCCACAGTTCGAAACTACCAGCTGCTCCGCGGGAGAAAGATGAGGCTTTCTGCTCCCGTAAAGATTTACAGCCTTGGAAACCCTGTTCAGGGTTGCTATGGGTCAGAACCGACTCGACGGCACTTAACAACAACAACATACACACACACACACACACGGAGAAAGAGAAGTTTTACCAAAAAGATATGTTTGTGAGAGGCTTAGGTTTAGAAAGTTCTATTCAAATCAGAATTTTTATTTTTTTTAATGCTAGGAGAGACTTTAGAACCATCTGATTTTAGTGATTCTCAAATTGGAATTGTATGTGAATTACTAAAGATGCTTGTTAGAAAGACAGGTTCTTGGGCTCACTGTCATAAAATTTGGGGTCAGACTAGGGCCACAGATCTACCTTTTTAAAAAGTTCACCTAAGTAGTTTCAGGTAAGTAAGCCTTGGACTATACTCTGAGAGAAATCTAATCCTAAAATAACACCACCCTTTTGTAGATGGCAACTGAGGCTCAGAGTGGTTAGTTGGCACACGATTCCACTGGTAGGAGAAAAGTTTTCAGAGCTTTTAATTGTCTCTCTTTGTTATATACAAGGAGTATATAGATAGTGAACCTCCACAGAAGCAGCTATTAGCATATTTAGTCAAAACTTGTTTTTAGATAGAAAGTGGGTGCTGTCTTATATTTCTTCCTGATAACATTTTTTTTTTTACTGGAAATTCAGATAGGCTTTGCCACTCAAATGTAGCCTTGTTTTTGTTGTTTGCAGTTCCAAGTTTTTGGACAGTTAATGCTTACAACTTTTTTTTTATGTGTGTGTGTTTTGTTTTTTAACTTATTGGGAGATGCAAGGGTTGGTAACCATATGTCAGGGTAAAAATGATTTCAGTTTTCACTGATTACTTAAGGACTTCAGACTAATGGGAATTATAATAGTAGATAGTCAAGGTGTATTAGTTATCTAGTGCTACATAAAACTATTACCACAACTCATTGACTTGAAACAAACATAACTTACTATCACACAATTTCTTAGGAACATGGACTTAACTGGGTCTCACAGGGCTACAGTGAAGGTTGTTAGCCAGGACTGGGTTGTCATCTGGAGAATTTGACATGGGGGGAAGATCTACTTCCCCATTCACGTTGTTCTTGGCAGCATTCAATTCCTTGCAGCTGCAGGACTGAGAATATCAGTTTTTTGTTGACTATTGGTTAGAGGCCTCCCTCAACTCCTAGAAGCAATTTGATGGTCCTTACCATATGGAGTTTTGGAACATGACTGTTTGCTTACAGTCGGCAGGGAAGGAGACCAGCAAGATGGGCACTAAATTCTTATGTAATCCCACACATCCTGTTGCTTTTGCCATACTTTGTTGGTTAGAAGCAGTCTCAGAAATTGGATCATGAGGGTGTGAACAGTAGCAAATGTGTAAGGATCATCCTAAAAGTCTGATTCCATAGAAGGTGTGAAACATGGGCAGTGATGTGGTAACTATACTGTAGCATATAGTTATAAAACTGAAAAACTCACTGCCTCTAAGTTAATTACCCAGTAGGACATACAAAGAACTACTCCTTAGTGTTTCCAAGATTGTAAATATGGGATCAAGACAGCTTTGTATATCTACTAAGGCATTTGAACTACTAAGGTTTTGAACTTCCATCCTTGTGGGTAGCAACACAACGCTTAATCCACTGCACTGCCATTTTAAAAGACAGCAAAAATCGTAATACTGGAATGAAAAATAATTTGCCTCACTTTTAGACCTGAGTAGTTTTACCACTAGATGGTAGTATAATCGATAAACTTCTTTACTGCGTTTTTATAAAGCTTTTTGCTCTAAATCTTTTCAATTAGGGCTGAAGAGGAGGGTGCCTGCTGCAATGCTGAAAACACACCAGAGGGCTACACTCAAGGAACAGAAGAAGCAAAGGTTTGTGGGGTGTTTTTTTTTAAGAAAAATATTTTTTGTATTTTTGCATTATAGTTTCATAACTTAAACTAGCTAATGTTATATGGTCCATTCTAATCATATAGGGGAGAAGAGAGTTGTTTATGTTTTCCTTTGTAGAAGGCTTACCTGTCTGAAATTGTAAAATATATGGTTAATTTTCTCCGGTTTCTTCTTTAAATAGAGTTGTACATCTTTCAAAGTAAACTTTTAATCATTTGAGAAATTTCAGAAGTTCTCGTTTTGAGTTAAAGTAGCATTACGGAGCACTGGTAGCGTAGTGGATTGTGAGCTGGACTGCTAACTGCAAGGTCAGCAGTTTGAATCTACTAGCCACTCCACAGGGGAAAGATAAGGCTTTCTGTTCCCATAAAGCTTTATAGCCCTGGAAACTCTATATAAGGTCACAATGAGTCAGAATCGACTTAACTCAACACAACCACCACTACCACCACCCTACATAGTTCAGCAAACTGAAGCAGTACTAGAGGAACTCACGCATGTATGCTAAGAAATTTGGAAGACAGCTATCTGGCCAGCTGATTGGAAGAGATCCATATTTGTCCCCATTCCAAAAGAAAGTGACCCAGTGGAATGCAGAAATCATCAGACAATATCATTAATGTTGTTTGAAAGTAAATTTTGCTGAAGACAATTAAAAAACGGCTGCAATAGTACATTGTCAGGAAACTGCCAGAGGTACAAGCCGGATTCAGTCAAGGAAGTGTGGAACAAGGGATATCATTGCTGATGTCAGATGGATCTTGGTTATAGCAAAGAATATCAGAAAGATTTTTACCTGTTCTTCATTGACAGTGCAAAGGCTTTCAACTGTGGATTATGACCAGCTCTGGATAACATTGTGAATAATGGGTATTCCAGAACAGTTAATTGTGTTCATAAGAAACTTGTACATATGCGAAGAGACAGTCATTCAAATAAAACAAGGGGACTCTGAATGGTTTAAAATCAGGAAGTGTGTACACCAGGGTTGTATTCTTTTGCCATACTTTTTCAATCAGTATGTTGGTCAAATAATCCGAGAAGTTGGATTATATGAAGCAGAACTTGGCATCAGGATTGGAAGAAGACGCATTACCAACCTGTGATATGCAGATAATACAACCTCACTCACTGAAAGCAGAGGACTTAAAATACTGATGAAGATCAAATCCTTCAGTATGGATTGCATCTCAATGTAAAGAAAGAAATCACAACTGGGCCAATAAATAACATGATAAATGGAGAAAAGATTGAAATTGTCTAAGACTTGGAGCTCTGGTACCATAGTGGTTACCAATCGGGCTGTGAACTGCAAGGTCAGCAGTTCAAAACTACCAGCTGTTCTGTGGGAGAAAGATAAGGGAGAAAGATTTACAGCCTCAGAAACACTGTACAGTTTCGCTGTGAGTCGCAACCGACTCCATGGCACATAACCACCACCACCAAAACTTTTCATTTTGCTTGGATCACTCTCAACACTCACAGAAACAGCAGTCAAGAAATCAAACAATGTATTTCATTAGGCAAATCTGTTGCACAAGACCTCTTTAAAGTATTCAAGAGCAAAGCTGTCAGTTTAAGGGCTGAGGTGCATTGAAGAATTGATGCATTTGAGTTACGGTGTTGGAGAATAATATTAAAAATTCCATGGACTTCAAGAACAACAAATCTGTGTTGAAAGAAGAGCAGCCAGAATGCTCCTTAGAAGTCAGGATAATGAGACTTCATATTACCAAGGGGGGGGGGGGGGCAGTCCTCGGAGAAGGACATTGTACTTGGTAAAGTTGGAGGGTCAGCAAGGAGAGGAAGACCCCTAAGGAGATGGATTAGCATGGTGGCAGCAGCAAAGGTCTCCTGTGTAGCAGTGGTTGTGAGACAGGCATAGGACCTGTCCATGTTTGTTCCATTGTACACAGGGTCTCTATGAGTAGGAACTGACTCAACGGCACCTAACAACAACAATATAGATATTTAATTTGTAATCAGTCTTCTGAAGCTGATTTTTAATTTAAGACTGATTATTTCCAGAAAATAACATAATTCTTAACACCTATTCTATTTTGAGAAACGCATTATAAGTCTGGTCTGTAAAATATTCAAAGAAACCAGATTAATTTTACTATCTAAAGGAGTTCTGATGTGGCATTGTCGGATAAACACTGGACTGAAAGGTCGGTTTGAACTGCTATATCGGCATTTCATTTCACCAGCTGCTCTTTGGAAACCCTATAAAGGGTCATATGAGTTCGAACCAACTTGATGGCACTTAACAACAACTAAAGCAAGTAGGCCAATATACAGACTTTCAGTTTGAGGAGGGAATCCTTGTGGCACAATGGTTAGGCACTGTAGCTGATAGCTGACTGTTTAGGAATTCAAACCCATCAATGGCTCCACAGGAGAAAAAAACTGGCAGTCTGCTCCCGAAAAGATCACAACCTAGGAAACCCTCCCTATGAGGTAGTTCTGCTGTGTCATATACGGTCACTATGAGACACAGTTGATTTGATGGTACACAACAACAATTTGAGGTTAGCTAATTAGGATAAAAAGAGTCCTGGTGTGGAGCTAAAGGCAGTTCAAACCCACCAGTCACTTCTCGGAAACCCTATACAGGGTCATTATGAGTTGGAATCAACTTGATGACATTTAACAACTACTGTTAGAGTAAATACTTTTACAACAATCTCTATGTCATGTCTCAAGTGTAGGTAATATTGAAACAGTATGGAATATGAAAATTGAGCAAACCAGAAGAAAAATCATAATTCCCTTTGGAAGTCACAACAGAATTTGACCAAATGAAGTAAACATTTTAGATTTTTCCAGGTGATTTTAGTGAACAGGAGGATTTGTGCCTTGTGGTGCATGTTAAGATGAACTTATTGAATAGCCCTGACTGAATTTAAATCTGGTGTGTGTTGTGTTGATTTATATGAGATGTGTTCATGAATTGTTGGCTAATCTATACGGTAATTCTCTTCTGCCTTTGAAAGACATTTACATTGTTTGCATTTTACTTATTTAGTCTCCTTATTTTTAAGATACAGCATATAGTTTATGGTACCATTCATTTCTTTAAACAGAAAAGAAAATGGAGGCATACGGACATAGATTTTTTTTTTTTTTTTTTAAAGGATGGCAAAACCTTAATTCTTTATTCTACAGAAGGAAGACTTAAACAGGGTGGTGAGGTAATGACATGTTTTTTGTGTCAGTCTACAGAAAATCCATCAAAGATGCTCTTCCCATATAAGGTGCTCAAATCCCTGGACCCAGAAATCTATCGTAATGTAGAATTTGATGTTTGGTTGGACAGCAGAAAAGGTATTGAAATATCAAAAGGATACTTTAGAATCCTGACAGATCAAGGAAAATAACTAAATTTTTCTTAAAAGACATGTTTTTATTGTACTGTGGTAAAGAACAGCTTTGTACCTTTCATCTTAGAAATCACATGATTTAAATCCTAAGGAGGAAACAAGGGTTTATAAATGGGGAGGGAGGGATCTTTTAGAATCTGGTCATTTATCTGGGACTTCAGTTTTGCAGAAATTGTTTATAGAAAGCCTTTAAATAACTTTTAGGAGTACAAAAATTTTATGACTTCTCTTAATTTCTAAAGTGCTAAGGTCATCCTTGGAGACCCGCTGTGGCAATAACAACAAGATCACCATTATTGATTAAATGAATAGGTCAGGTGATGACTTGTGTGCCAAATCTGTCCCATTACCTAGTGCAGAATGATCTTTATAGCATTTTTAAGTAGCTGGCAAAATATTAGCAGAATAGTATATCGTGACACATCAAAGTTACATGAAACTGAATGTCCATAAGGAAAACTTTATTGGAACTTAGCCATACTCACTTACATACTGTAGGTCCCCATGCCTCTAAAATATTTACTATCTGACCCTTTACAGAAAGTTTGCCAACCTTTAAAATAAATAATTGCATATTTCTCTTTATAAGATAACTACATTGATCAAAGTAGGCCTTATAGTGCTGCCTTTAAGATAGCCTTAATATTACATATTCAACCCCTTGAACTTAGGTTAATCAAGGTATAGTTAGCAGTCTTGAATATGATTAAGACCTTGTAAGCAGCACTGACTTATTAAAAATAATAGTTTGCTTTGGGGAAACTGGATAGTGTTACTTTCAAATTGTATGTTACTGATATTTGACCAAAGTAGCCCTGGTAGCACAGTGGTTAAGTGCTCAATCGATAACTGAAAGGTTGGCAATTCAAACCCATCAGCCACTCCGAAGGAGAAAGATTTGGCTGCCAGCTTTGGAAACTTAGTGGTGCAGTTCTACTCTGTCCTATAGGGTGTCTATGAGAATCGACTGAATGACAGTGGATTTGGTTTGGATGTTTGACCACTTCTAAGATTACAGCTTCATAATAAATACCCACCTATTTATGTGTTGAAGCATAAAACTATTGTAGTAGATATCCTTAAGTTGACCACAGAAATAACCCATTGAAAATGACTTCCCTGCCACACTATGTCCCCACCCCCTGATTTTAGTGTATAGTGGTTATTATTGCTAAGTGCTGCTGAGTCAGTTCTGACTCAGAGCAACCCTGTGTAGAGTTTCCAAGAACTAGCTTGTGGGTTTGAATTGCCAATGCTTATTCCACAGCTCCATGCCAGGACTCCAGTGTATAGTGTTAGAATTGTGATAGTCCCTATGGGAAAGTAAATTAGGAAGTTAAGTGATGTAAAGCAAAAAATTAACTAGTCCCATTGAGTTTGATTCTTAATTTCTTTTTAATAGAACTTCAAAAATCTGATTACATGGAATATGCTGGAAGACAGTACTATTTGGGAGACAAGTGTCAGGTTAGTTTCTTCTTAAAAGAATCAGTAATTTGTTTAAGATTGTATTAGATGTTAGTTAATATAATAAGCAATGCTTATAAAAAGTTGGAATAGTATCTTTTTGGAAATGTTTGTGGTAAATTTAATTTCAAAGTTTCATAGTTAGCTTTAAGGCAAGCAGTTTCCCATTGAATCTAGCTGGCAGTGTTGTTATCAACTCCTTTAAAAAGTAGACATAAAACTACATTTGGGAAAAGTGGTATTTTTGTTGTACAGAAGCCAGATATGCCAATAGATTTGAGCCTAAATGTATTTATTCCTTTTCTTTTTTTTTTTTTTTTTTATGTTTTTGTGAATTGAGTGATAGCTTGCATGGGAGACTATCAGCTTTACACTCATCCTATTGTATTTAATTTCATAGAAATGATTACAGTCCCCTCCATGCATCATCATTCAACAGTATTTGCTTCTATTTTCTCTATTTTGTATTTTCAATTTTTGGATGTACACCAAAACACTCAGAAATATGCAGTCATTCAAATACCCAAAGGACAAACCCTGCAAACCTGCCCCCTGGCCACAAGCACACAGCCCTCAGCCCTTCTCCCTCTATGAGTCTAGAGCCCCCAGCCACTCCATTTTTCCACGTCATCATCTTGGCCTCCATCTCTGGCGTCATTGCTTCTCTGAAGAGCTCCCATTCTTCTCCCTTTATGGTCCCAGGGTTCTCAACCACTTCCCTCTTTTTGCTACAAAACAGTTACCTTTAGATGGAATAATTTCAGTCAGTCATGATAACAGTTAGTCTTAACAAGACTGTTACAAGAGTCTTAACAATGTATTAATTTTTAATTGTCTTTGCCCTGTTATCAGGTTCGCTTGGAATCTGGTGGAAGATATTACAATGCTCACATTCAGGAAGTTGGAAATGAGAATAATTCATTAACAGTTTTCATTGAAGAATTGGCAGAAAAGTAAGAATGTAATACTTTGTTGAGTTACTGAAATCTTTGACTCCTAGTACCTTCCCATAATATGAATTTGAGAATTACCTGGATAATGTAGTAAGAGGAGTAGAGGTATTTCTGGTACATGCCTAAGTTGCTCAAGTGTCAGATCTTAATATAGCTGTCGTTTTTGTATCAACATATTAAATCCTAGTTACTAGCTAACTTACTAGAAATATTGTCATGTACAATAGAATTCTGGTACAAAAAATGTTTGGACTAGTTGGAAAGTTGATTTACTGAGCCTTTCCCATTACCAGTATTAACTATTCCCATAGTTCACAAACTTTATCATGCTCCAGAATTACCTGGAAGACTTGTTAAAACACAGATTGATGAGCCCCATTCCAAGTTTGATTTAGTTCTTCTGGGATGGAGTCTAAGAATTTTCATTTCTAGTGTCTGTGTGATGCTGCTGCTGGTCCACTTTACAAACCACTAAACTATACTGTTATAACAGACAGCCCCAAAATGTCAGCAGCTTAACAGTAAAGTTCATTTGTCACTCATCACTCGTACATCCATAGTAGATCTGCAAAGGAAGTGTAAGGCGAGTAGAGACTTCTATCTTCACACATGCTTCTGTTACCGTGTTAAGTTGTTAAGTGTTGTCAAGTCATTTCAGCTCATAGTGACCCTGTATAGGATTTCCGAGGAGCAGCTGGTGGGTTTGAACCACTTACCTTGTGGTTGGCAGTCCAGTGTTTATCCTACAGTGCCATACCAGAATTCTGTGGTCATAGGCAGGGAAAAAATGAAAACCATGTATTGGTTAAGAAACATTTATTGGTTCTTAATGTACATGTTCACATTTTATTGACCAAAGTGGGTTAAATAGCAAAGCCTGATGCCAGTGAGCTTCAGAAATAAAATCCTCTTCCAACAAGGAATGACAGCAAATACCTGTGAACTAATATAGTCTTGTGTGGCTCTATTAGTTGTGGTGTGGTGTTGTGGGTTAATGTGTTGGACTACAATGTTGTTTTAAACCATAAGGTTGGCCGTTCAAGCTTACCAGCGGCTCCTCAGAAACCCTGTACAGGGTGGCTGTGGGTTGGAACCAACGCAGTGGCACACAACAACAACAATATAGCCTATCAAAGTGTTTCCTCTGGAACGTGATACCATCTACAAGCAGCTGTGAAAGTAAACTCTCTAAAAACAATAATAATAATAATTTTAAAACCCTGGGTTTTCTAAGATAAAAAGAAAACCTAAACAAGGAAGCTAGTATAGTCACTGTAAAATAAAGCAAGAGGGTTGAGGGCATGTGTAGCACATGAGAATTATGTCTCTTGCAGTGGTTTCACATTGATACCTTTTTAACTTTAAGGCATGTTGTTCCACTGGCTAACTTAAAACCAGTTACTCAAGTGACACCTGTTCCAGCCTGGAATGTCATGCCCAGTCGGAAAGGAAGAAACTACCCCAAAATGCCTGGGGGCTATGTCCCAGAAATAGGTTTGTATGCTGAGGATTTGTACTACTTTTTCTCTTCTTGTAGTAACTTTTACTTATATACATTGTACTTTTTTTTTTTAAAGCATGATTTAAGTTTTGTTCCTACTGTTGGGTTTCTCAACTTCAGCATTGCTACTATTTTGGGCTGGATAATTCTTTGTTGAAGGAGCTTGTGGGAACCAGTCTTGTGCATTGTAAGAACTAATATGAACTGAAATTATTTTAAAATGAATTTATTTGGCAATTTTGTATTCTCCGCTCACTAGATTTCAGTAGCATCCTTCCCCCAGTGTGACAACCAAAGCTGTCTCGTGGTGGTGGTGATGATGGTGTGCCTTTGAGTCGATTCTGACTCCTAGAAACCCTGTATAGGGTTTCCAAAGCTGTAAATCTTTACAAGAGTAGAAAGCCTCATCCCGAGCCACTAATGGATTCAAACTGTTGACCTTGTGATTACCAGGGCTCCTCCCCCAGGGGGTTAGAATGGGAAATTGTCCCTGTTTGAAAATCACATTTCTAGGTAACTTTGTGCAAAATTAAGCTGGGATGGAGTTCAGACTATAAAACTTGAGTGATACAAATTTCTCAAAAGAACTAGAAAAATACCTCACAGAAGGAGCCAGAAACATTAATAGGCCTAATGTCTTAGAGAGTAGTAAAATAGGTGGATGGATGACTCTGGAGATGTTTTGATGACTAATTCTGCCTATATACTAAAAATAGTGCTGCAATGTCTATTGATAAAGACATTACCTGCTGGTTTTGCCCTTCCTTATGGAAGATCAAGGGCATCCTTTAAAAAATTCAGGAAGACTCATCCTGTATTTGATTTAGTCATAAGAAAAACAATTGAGAGATAACAGGCAATTGTGAGCTTTCAGGGTACTGCACCTTTTGCTTTTGTTATGAAACTTACTTACTACTTCCTTTGGGTTGCCTGAAAGGTATGTCAGAGATGGACATGAAGCAACGAAAGAAGATTTTCAAGAAAGTTAGAGGCAAAGACGTTTATATGAATATGGCTTATAGCAAGGGCGACCCTCTCCTCCCACCCAGGATGCAGCACAATATGCATTTTGGGCATGACTCTTCGGTACACTACCCACAAACAGCTGACAATTTTATGTCTAATGAACATTTTCATCATCAACACTCATCTCAGAGACAAGGTCGAGGATATGGGATGCCCAGGTAAGACTTAAGTGGCTTTCAAGATAATCCTCATTGCTTTTAGAAACAATTCCTGGACAGAATTACAGTAAAAATGAGAACTATTTTACTAGTTTATATTTTTGTCATCTCTGCCTAAAAGGAGCCGCGAGGATGGAACTGATGAATACTGAAATCTCCTTAAATGAATTTATTGGCAGTTTTGTCTTCTTGTTAAGTGCCATTAAGCAGTTCCAACTCATAGCAACCCTACATAGGATTTCTGCAGAGCAGCTAATGGGTTTGAACTGCCAACTTTGTGGTTTGCCTGGCCAGTGCTGATCCAACAGAAATATAAAGCAGTTAAAGATATTCTAGAATATAGAATGCTATCCAGTCTGAATGTCCATGTGGTATGTGACATTGTATCCATTAATAATGGATATGTCTAATGCCAGTATTGGGGATGACAAGTTATTTCTATTGGTCAAGTATTTGGAAGGTTTTAGAAATACCCATCAATTGTATTTAACTACAAAGACTGAGTATACTCAGGCAGTAGTGAGGAAAAAGTTGTTTTCTTTTTCCTTTGTTCTTAGGGATTCATCTCGCTTTATAAATAGGCACAACATGATGGGCCCTAAAGTTGGTTTCTACCCTGGCCCAGGTAAAAGGTGCTGCCAGAACTATGATAACTTCTCTTATAGATCTCGGTAAGTCAATTTTAAGTGTTGAAGGTCAGAACATTGGGTAAGTGACTGTATCACTGAGCAGCCAAATACATGACTGATTTGAGAGACAGGTCGTTGTTGGGAGGTCTGAAGTATTATTTAGTCATTAAAGATAAGTTATTTGCATCTTTTTAAATCATTTTTTCCTCTTCGTTCTTCAAATCACCTAAGTTCATTTAGACGAAGCCATCGCCAGATGCATAATATGAATAAGGAATGCCAGTATGGCTTTGCCCCAGAGACTGGACAAATGCCCAGGGGCTTGGAAGAAACCGTTACTTTCTATGCTGTTGAGGAAGGAGATGAGACTGCTTATCCAACTTTATCGGTAAGTGGATCAAAGCTTTAGTCAAAAGGATTCTTTTTATATTTTTTTAAGTAAAGGCAATGTGGATAAAGTTTAGATTTTTTTTTTTTTTTTTTTTTTTGTAAACAACCAGCAATTCCCTGGGAAACATGGGTTATTTTTGAGCCTTAAAGGCAATAAGTTTTATTTTATTTTTTCTTAGAGAAGGGGGTGGAGGAGGTAGACAAACCAAACCCATTGTCCAACTCATGTGTTACAGAGTACAACGGATTCATAGGGTTTTCTCATGTGGCACTATAGGATAGGCACTGAGGAATGCTAACCACAAGGTCGGCAGTTCAGACCCACCAGCCGCTCCTCAGAAGTCTTATACATGGTCACTGTGAGGCAGAACCGACTCGATTACACTTAACAACAATAACAAGGGTCTTAACAGAAGCAGCTCACCAGCCTTTCCTCCATAGTACCACTAGGTGGTTTTGAAACCACCAACCTTTAGGTTATTGTTGTTGTTGTTAAGTGCGTCAAGTCAATTCCAACCCATAGTGACTCTGTATAGGGTTTCCGAGGAGCAGCTGGTGAGCTTGAACCACCAACCTTGCAGTTCAAATGGCTTTGCAATCTGATGCATTAACCCACAGTGCCACATTTGTGCCACCCAGACTATTCTATAGTATGGATTAATGTTTTCTGTTTGCTTGATTGTTGATGATTATCATATTTAGATTTGAAAATGCATAAAATTTCAAAAGGACTTTAAAACAGCAGTTCATATTCTTAGTCACTAGCTTCATCATGCTGCTTTCAAAATATAACTCTAGCTTTTTTGTCTGGCATCAAAAGATTGATGGAATACACAGAGTCACTGTACCAAAAGGAAATGGTTGATGTTCAACTGTTTCAAGAGGTAGAATATGATCAAGAGCCAATGATACTGAAGGAAGAAGTCGAAGGTGCATTGAAGGAATTGGCAAAGAACAAGGCACCAGGAATTGATGAAATAAAAACTGAAATCTTTCCAGAAAGTGTGGCAACACAAGAGGCACTCACTCGTCTCTGCCAAGAAATTTGGGAGACAACTATCTGGCCGACTGATTGGAGGAGATCCGTATTTGTGCCCATTCCAAAGAGAGGTGACCCAGTGGAATGCAGAAATCATTGGACAATATCTTTGATATCCCATGAAAGTAAAGTTTTTCTAAAAGTCATTCAGAAACAGCTACAAGCATACATTGACAGAGAACTTCCAGAGGTTCAAGCTGGATTCAGAAGAGGCCGTGGAGTGAGGGATATCATTGCTGATGTCCGATGGATCTTGGCTGAAAGCAGAGAATATCAGAAAGATGTTTACCTGTGCTTTATTGACTATGCAAAAACTTTTGATTGTGTGGATCATGACAAGCTATGGACATCATTGCGAAGTTTAAGTATTCCGGAACACTTAATTGTGCTCATAAGAATCTGTACCTGGATTAAAGAGGCAGTTGGTCGAACAGAACATGGGGACACTGTATGTTTTAAAATTAAGAAAGGTGTGCGACAGGGTTGTATTCTTTCACCATACTTATTCAACCTGTATGCAGAGGCTTGGGAAGGCTCAGAGGCGAATTCTGCGCTGGGAAGCCCAGTAGGGAGGTGGCAGCTGCATGGCTGATGGGCATGTGGCAACTGTGGCTTCACGTGCTCCCAGCAACCGCTTGAAACCGTTGGCAGGCGCTGGCTAAGAGAACAAGACTAAAAACCTATTTTGGATAGAGACGACTGAATCATTTAGCTAAAAATGGTGCTTCTTACATGCATTGCATGTGGTGAATCGGTGAAGAAGGTACAAGTGGAAAAGCAGGACAGCGAATGCCTTTCTTGCATCGACTGTGGTAAAGATTTCTGAGTTCCAGCAACATCCCCTGAGCCTGCTTGGCCCGGTATTCCGTGTTGTTATTGACGGGGCTCCTCACTGCACGTCTACCCGATCTGCCAACTGAAACACATATAGAAGAATATTTGGAGGATTGGAGGGCTTACAGCTGGGGAATTTGTAGGAGAATCAACAAATCCATTGTTTTCTAATTTAAGACACTCAGCTATTCCCAGAGCCGCCATCTTGGGAGAAAACATCTTGATTGTATCAGGATTGATACAGAAATTAAAATGACAGTTTCAACATAAAACCAAATGGCCACCACTCATCTGTCTGTCATGCTGTGGTGGCTTGAGTTGCTGTGATTCTGAGGGCTGGCTATACCACCGGTATTTTAAATAACCAGCAGAGTCACCCATGGTGGACAGGATTCAGGTGAGCTTTCAGAGGAAGACAGACTAGGAAGAAAGAGTGATGAACTACTTCCGAATCGTTAGTCACTGAAAACCATATGAATAGCAGAGAAACCACTGTCAGATACAGAGCCTGAAAATGAGCCCCTCAGGTTGGAACGGACTCAAAATGTGACTGGGGAAGAGATGCCTCCTCAAAGTAGAGTTGACCGTGATGACATGAATGGAGTTAAGCTCATGGGAGAAAAGCCCACAGAACCTTCATTTGCTAATGGGGCACAACTCAAAATGAAGAGAAACATCCATTGAAATTCGGAACATGGAATATACAAAGTATGAATCTGGGAAAATTGGAAGTTGTCAACATGAAATGGAACGCAGAAACATCAATGTCTTAAGCATTAGTGAGCTGAAATGGACTGGTATTGGCCATTTTGAATCTGACAACCACATGGTTTACTATGCAGGAAATGACAAATTGAAAAGGAATG